AAATAAGTGTAGATATATACACACACTTATTTTTCATATCAAAGTAATTTTAATGCATTGTGGTTACAAGGTTTTCCAAGCAAGTCAACTTTTACGTAGGAGTTTAAGTCACCTGATTTAAAACCTCTTAAAATCTATCTCAGACAGTTGTAAAAATTACTTTTATCTTTCTGTCTGACATCTGTGTATTTTTGAAATTTTTAAGCAGTATTTTAAAAATAATACCTGTTCAGAATGTCTATGAAACTTTAATGTTACTTTTTATCAAAAATACTGAAGTACTGCCTCGTTTAACCAGAAGCTTATTTGCCTTTTGGAAATTGCTCACAGCAAATAAAGTTTTTTACCTTTACTTTTTCACTCCAGTTTTAAAATTCTTTTCAGGTGCCCGTGTCATGCCGTCAGATGCTTCTGCTGGAGACTCTAGGACTGAAAATGAGTTTGCTAGAATCTATCCCAAGTCACTTACAACTCCCTGTTGCTGTAACATGTTACTGGATACATTGTGCAGAACCCAAAGTTAAGTTGCATCAATTAAAGGCGCTACTTCTAATGATAGTATCTGGAGAACTGCACAGGATAACAGAAGATCCAGGTATGTCTCCAAAAAATACAATTTTTGGTGTTCAGCTATTACAAAAATCTATACCATAATTATTTTTTTGTCACTTATGGGGAGTTGCCCAAATCTCAATGAACTAGCTTTGATATACATGATCTCCTGAGGTGTCACATTCTTAGAGTGCTAGCCATCAATTTAACGTTTTATATAGGTAAAACAGTACTTTGCCACCTTGTAAAACATTTATAAATGCTTTATTTACAACTAAAAGATTAATTTAATATAAAAATTATCAAAAAATAAGCTTAACATACAAGCATCAAAGGAGAATAACTGCTATTGGCATTCTGATTTTTTTTCATGACTTTTTTCTAAAATCATCTGTACTTAAAAAATGCCCAGGCACTCTCTATATCTGTCTTTGCATTGCAAATTTGTAAGTACTAAACTATCTCAGAAACTTCTTCAGTAATATTTTTATACCTAATTAGTTATGAAGGCATTTCCTCTAGGAGTCAAAGACGATGCATGCCAGGGTTCTGCAGTTCCTTTAGTTTCTAGTTTATAGAAACCAGACTGACAAGATTGGCACCTGCTTCCCAAGTGGGTCACAGTGAGAGGGAATGCTTGTTTGGATTGGATCTGCTCACAGCACAGTGTGGCAAATTACCTAACAAATAGAATTCCTGATTTCATTATTTCAGATTCTCATGGATATTCATATTTGAATTCTTACACAATCTTATGTCTAAAAACTCAGTTTGAGACATTTGAAAACATTACTAATACTTCCTGAAATAGAAGTGGAGGTTTGAAGGCCCTCTACATTGTACTGTTCACAGCAGAACATTTATTTGCATGTTATGTTTTATGACCTAGATTCCACAGTTCTATGTGCTGAAGATGACAGTATTGCATATAACGAGTTTCTAAAATGGAAGGAAAAGAAATTGCAAAGTAACAACTTTGATTTAGAAGCTGCACACAGTTTTTGCCAGTGGCAGTGCTGCCTCCAGATGGGATTGTATCTCAACCAGCTACTTTGCACTCCTCTCTCTGAGCCAGACTTAAGCAGGTAAGGACATTTCAGGGATCAGCTTGTCACACAAGCCCCTGATGGAATGTGTTCACATGTTGTTCTGTTTTCTGTGTCAGACTCCTTTGGTCAGTTCTACTACCTTTGAACTCCCTTCTTTAAAGGAATTAATAAAGTACTCTAGAATATATGTCCCTTAGGAGCTGACTGTGTATAGTTGTGTTTTTTTCATTAAGCACATGTCTCTGTACCTGTCCTGTTGAAATGTAATTCTAAGTGAGGATTCCCTCCCTCCTTTGAGCAGGCTCTACACTGGGACCCTTGTGCACAGACTGTATCAAGAGCTTAAATCAACACCTTCGGTGGAAAATCTGTTTAGTTTATCTCCAAGAATGACTCAGCTTTATCAGGTTTTGTTAAATACAGTGGAGTCAACTCTATCTCCAGACTTCTTTCAGAAGACAAGCAAGACCAGATCACGGTCCTGCAAAAAGAAAACATCTAATAAGAAAAACACAGCCATCAGGTGTGCTGTGCCAGAAACTCAGCATTTATGCACTGTTAATAGGTTTGCATCCCTGGGAGTGGATGACTAAAAGCAGTATTTCTGGAATAACTGCCATGCTGAGGAAATAAATTACATTAAAATCATGTGACTGTACTGGAATTTGCTCAGCTGCTTTCAGCAAGTTCCTGATTAAATCTTACCAAAAATCTTGCTTCAGGAGATTTTTTTATTTACATTTTTGTAACTTACATTCATATAAAAGAGATGCTGTATAAAAATTGTGGTGCTTTGTTTTTCTTTAAAGGTATCCGTCTAATTGAAAATGAGATCAAAGTTGTTTAGCATTACAGACTGGACTATTTTAGAGGAATTCTATTCCTGAACGTTTTAGAGTTGGCTCTGCCCCATCTCCGGGGACACTTCTCATCTCCAAAAAATCCAACTTTAAAGCTTGTGTTTGAGGAACACAGTGATTACAGTCTTAGATTAAAATGGGAAATTGTCAAGTTTTAAAATACTGTAATATTATCCCTTACCGCAGAATACTTATACTCTATGGGAGAGCTAGCTATACTCTGTGACAACTGAGGGCATTGTGCTTGCAGTATTATAGCTACTGACTATATTTTGGGACAAATTTCAGCTTCTATTCCCCCCCTCCCCTTTTGATATGTTTGAGTTACATGCACACACAAAGCTATCACATAGTAGCAAGTTTCCAAAGGTTTCTTAATTCAAGTAATTGCCACAGTAATTATATACAATCTTCTGCCATTAACTAACTATTGTCACTCTTCTTACTCTTCTCTAATGGCTATACTAAAATAAAAAGACATTTTTAATTTCCCTGATGTAGTTACTTCCTCCAATGTAATTACTTGACAACCCCTTACTATCAACATGGTAATATTGAAAAATAATTTATAATTAGGAAAAAACCCACCACATCATCAGTATTTCTCAGAGCTCTGCAGTAGCAAACTTTCCCACATAATTAGTCAATTTACATGAATGATTTTCTTATAAAACTATTGTTTTTCCAGTGTCTCTCCATGTAAAGTCTAATTACTCCATTTCTGTTTTGTTCTCGATTCCACATACCTTTTCTTACATTTAGGAAAACCATGACTTCCACCTTTAATGATTAAAGTTTTGCCCATTGCTTACCAAAATTCAAGCTTGATTCCTGCATTGTGTGCTCAAGTTTTCCATCCCTATCACATCTATTCACATGGTAGTACCTCACTAGATCTTGTGACTTACAGGAACGATCTCTGATATCATATAGCCGAGTCTTGATACTGCCCCAACACAGTCAATGAGAGAAGATGTATAACATGTTACATTAACGAGAAAAGTTGTTTTGAGATACAAAATAGCAAGATTTAACATGTTTCCTATGTTAAGCTACTGTTTCCAAGCTGCTACTTAATGAACTCCCAGCAGATGGCACATGCGCTCAACCACGCTGCAAATAACCAGAACGGCACAACCCATCTCTAAATAAATTTGTATTTACAGCAGCCTACAGCGTCACATTTCCATCAGAAGACTTTTATTTAAAAGTTGAAGGGGGCTCAATTTAAAGCTCTTGATTTTGCTAACTAAAACTTAAATCCTTCATAGTCCAAGACATCCTCTGATCCATTCTGATACCGTGTGTTTTAGTTTACCGAGCTTGTAATTCCATATGGTTTTTAATCGTCAGAAATAGTCACATGTAACATAAGTCTTAAATACAAAAATACAGTCCTGTGAGAAGAGAGATATTCATTTACTCTGAATCCCATATTGGCAAACTGCTGGAGATCATAAAAATTCTTGAGACTTGCTGAGAAGTGGAATCTTCAGTTAGATACAGAAGACTTGGGATAAACTCAAATATTCTACTTTGGGATAAAAACACTGCTAAGACCACATGGCATTTTGAGAATACCTTTGGTAGTGCTGACTCAATGATTAAGAATTACTGTACTGGAAACATGTTCTCAATGCAGAATTCAGCTGTTCTTTGTTGCTGATGAAATACACCTTATTGCAAACCAGTCCCATATGCTGAAGCAGATAATTATTGATTCTAGGCCTATCATGTGTAATTTAAATCAAGTATTACAGTTTTCCTTTTTGGTTTTCAATTGTCTTTTGAGGAAAAAAAAAAAGGCCTTTACTTACTAAAACTGAAACATTATGTATTCCATACTGTAGTAAAAGCAACTAAATTCCCTGATTGCTGCCTATTTTCACCCCACAAGAAATGCCTCTTAAGTTTTGTGGAAAGTTCCCACTAGTGATTCAACTGCTCTGGAGAAAGATCTCTCAAACCTGCTGTAAGGTAGTAATGAATCACAAGTGGAGCCAAAAAATGGCAATGAGAGTCAGTCCCAGCATTTTTATAAATAATGACATTGAGATAGATCTATTACTCGTTAGTTTTTCATCTTCCATTGGAAAACACAGCAGAAAAAAAATTGGCATATTTAAAGTGAACTGTATTCAATTAAGTCCACCCTGACAGAAGGCAAAATTGTCCTTAAGGCACCAAAGTTTTATTTCTTATCTAGACTGACATACCTTATTCAGGAAGTGAGACTTGTGCAGAGAAAGGAGTACTTCACAGAACTTGTTTAAATACAAGGCAATGACACTTCCAAGCTAAGACAACAATTTGGCATTCATCTGCACTTCTGTACTTACCTGGGTTTCTGGGAGTCCAAGACCAAGAGCAGAGCACAAAGCAGTCAAATCCACGAAAGAGTATCAACCACAAGACTTGCTATGTGAAAGGTTTAGTTGCTGTCCTTCCTCAAAACCAAATTTTGTTCAAGAGATTCTACATCAGCACACACTGTTGGTTTTTACTATCTGTGTATAATGAGACCCTTAGTATTCATCATCAATAACAAAGCCTTCTGGAATTCTATTGAGCTACTGAACACCCTACCATATTGAACAGCTACAGCCTCACTTGTCAAAGATAATAATAGTTCAACAGGAGGAACACTATCAAATCTGCTCAACTTCTGAAAGGCAGAACTGCATTTCTGTTAGAGGGCATCTTTTTTGGGCCCTACAAGCTCAGTGGTTCACATAACATCCCACAGGAAGATGAGTGCCACAGGCTGCAATCTTTGTCTTTACACAATCAAATCTCCAACATGTGGGTAGTCCGGGTAATATGTGCATGTTGAGCAGGCCCAGAGTCAGGCAGAGCAGTGGAAGAATTACATGTGTAAAGCGGACTCACTGGTGCAGTCCTCATTTCTTGACCAAATCTGGGAACATCCAGAGACAAAAAGAACAACTGAAATAACCTCTTAGCAGAGAAATTCAAACAGCACTTTCCAAACTGCCTTGTTTCCCATGAACTCCCCAGATTCTGAGCATGGCATGTGGGGCAAGCCACAATGGTAAGTGCAGAAATGTCCCAGTGCTTGTTTATGACAATTCCTCATCAACTGACAGGATGACCAGTGTGAGAGCATGGCCCAGAGCCAATATCAATGCCACACTTTCAGGCTACAGTGAGGAAATATGCCTATCTACATGTTTTCAAGCAAAAGAGATACCACTGTGTCTCCAACTCCCCTTAGAGAGCTAAGACACCCTCTCTTCAGGATTCCCTAGGTAACAGTTCCTTGCATTTCCTCAAGGGATGGCGTGTCCTACTGTGATGAGAAGACACTGATGACAACAGCTGCAAGACTATTCTGAGGAAGAACACCATTTCTAGTTAGTGAATATCAGAGTATTCCAACACTATTAAGAATACTTTTAATGTATCAAGACACAAATGTATTTTAATACTTTTCTAGCCATAAAAGTATGTTGGTTTAAAGTTATACTACCATTAAAAAGTTGTGAATTCTTTAACAAGGTGGAACAAGGACAGAAAATGAAGCTTCTTTGAAAGAGAAGTGGGCGTATCAAGACACAAATCTATTATAATACTTTTCTAGCCATAAAAGTATGTTGGTTTAAAGTTACACTACCATTAAAAAGTTGTGAATTCTTTAACAAGGTGGAACAAGGACAGAAAATGAAGCTTCTTTGAAAGAGAAGTGGGGGTTTTTTGCCATTAGTCTAAGGATGAGTGCATTCATTTTCTCATTCAATACACTACAAATCATTTCAACAACTACTGTCCTATAATCACTCAAGTGATCTAACAGTCATAAGCTAAAGTAAATATGGAACAAGACATGAAACCAAGCTTGTATTGAAAATGATACCAGAACAATCATGCTAATCTGGTGTAAATGCCAATTTCTTTTAAAACAAACAGACAACACACTTTTAAGAAAAGCAAACATTTACTTCAAATTGCAGTATATGCTTTTCAATCACAGAAAAAGAAAATAAAAACAGTGATCCGACAGCGGTCACATCCTGTGCAAAAAAAAAAAAAAACCCCAAAAAACCAACCAAACTTGGGATACAAAGAAACTGTAGCACAAGGTACTTGAGCCGCTTACACATTGCAGGATAAAGTAAATAAATACAGTAGCTAGAATATGGCACTCTTGTGACAGACTCTAAACCCAGTGGAATGCCTCTGAAATTTTTTTATCCTTGTATTAGTAGCAAAGTCCCACCACCATAAAAGTAGAATAGTACAATGCCTTAAATAAAAACAAACTAAAATATTTATATCTAAGAGAAGGATTTTACACAGTTATATCTTTTAAGTGCAGAAAATGCGACTTGGGCTTAGATCTTTCTTTAAATTACCCCCTGCCCCCCTCCCGCTCCCCATTCAATCTCAAAAGTAAATTTATGTTTGAGGAAAAATGTTACCAAAGTTGCATAATTTCATTTGTTACTTCCATGGCTGGAAGTTAAATTCTAAACAGTCTTGAAACATGAAGTTCGTCCTTAGCCAGTGAAATGAAGGACTTGTCAAAAGCCCTCAGGATTTCTTTATCCTCCAAATATCCTTTTGCTTTCTCCTACATCTTTAGACAGCAATCGCTAAGTTTGCAAACAAAAGAATGCAATATGCATCATACATCAAGAAAAGACGAAGTTGACGAAGAAGAACTTCCACGTTTCTGGATCTTTTCCTTGCTTCTTTCAAACTTCTTTATTATCTCAGCCACTATGCACACAGAGGAAGTGAGTCCCACGAGAAACAGTAAATCTGGAAGAGATAATTAGCCTTTCTAAATTTGCTATTTAAGGCTGAGGACAGACTTAGAAAAGAACAAGATTATAAGGCTTTCAAATTGTCTCCCAGTCACTGGGTAAGTTCAGGAGAAATGAAGCAAAATCCAATTTTCCG